GAGATGGGTCAGCCCGGTCCCCTCCCCCCTCCCAAAAAGGAACCGCCCCCTCCCCTCCCCTCCCCCCCCTTCCAGGGCCAGGAGCCCCCCGAGACCCCCCCAAGGCCCCGCCCACCGGAGGAGGAGGAGGAGGAGGAGGAAGGACCGGGGAGAGGGAGGGATGGAGGAGGAGTAAGAGAAGGGATGGAGAGGAAGAGGAGGGTGATGAAGGAGGAGGAAGAGGAAGGTGATGAAGGAAGAGGAAGGTGATGAAGGAGAAGGAGAGAGATGAAAGAGAGGAAGAGGAGGATGATGAAGAGGAGGGAGATGAAGGAAGAGGAGGGTCATGAAGGAAGAGGAGGATGAGGAAGAGGAGGATGATGAAGGAAGAGCAGGGAGATGAAGGAAGAGCAGGGTGATGAAGGAAGAGGAGGGAGATGAAGGAAGAGGAGGATGATGAAGGAAGAGGAGGATGAGGAAGAGGAGGATGATGAAGGAAGAGGAGGATGAGGAAGAGGAAGGTGATGAGGAAGAGGAGGGAGATGAAGGAAGAGGAGGATGATGAAGAGGAGGATGATGAAGGAAGAGGAGGATGATGAAGAGGAGGATGATGAAGGAAGAGGAGGATGATGAAGAGGAGGGTGATGAAGGAAGAGGAGGATGATGAAGAGGAGGGTGATGAAGGAAGAGGAAGGTGATGAAGGAAGAGGAGGATGATGAAGAGGAGGGTGATGAAGGAAGAGGAAGGTGATGAAGGAAGAGGAGGATGATGAAGAGGAGGATGATGAAGAGGAGGATGATGAAGGAAGAGGAGGGTGATGAAGAGGAAGGTGATGAAGGTCGCGGCCAGGCGGGCGCAGCCGCCGCCGCCGCTTCAGCACCGGGGACAGCGCCGAGCTCCCGCCCGCTTCCCCCGGGGGACCGCGCCGAGACCCCCGAAATGGGGAGGGGGCAGCGCCGAGACCCCCGAAATGGGGAGGGGGCAGCACGAGACCCCCGAAATGGGGAGGGGGCAGCGCCGAGACCCCCGAAATGGGGAGGGGGCAGCGCCAAGGGCCCCCATCCCCTCCGGGACCCCCTCCCCAAAACCCCCGACAGAAGAAGCGCCACCAAAATTCCTGATTTTAATGGATTTGGGGGGTCCTGGAGGGGCTGGGACACCCTGGGGGGGGGTCGGGGGGTCTGTGCCCCCTCCCCCCAGTGTCCCCAAAGCCCCTCCACACCCCAGGTGACCCCGGGGGGGGGACAACGACAATGAGGAAATAAATAAAAGGTGAGGGGGGAGGGCAGCAGGGTCACCTGGGGGGGCCACAGGGTCACCTGGGGGGGGGGACATACGGGGACACCCCCGATGGGGTCCCTCAGGTGCTCAGGGGGTCCCGGGGAGGGGCTCAGGACCCCCCCCCAGGTGGTTCTTCTTCACCTCCAGGTGCAGCCCCAGGTACATCGAGGGGTCCTGGCGAGCAGGTGAGGGCCCAGGTGAGTCTGGGGGGGGGGCCCAGGTGAGCCCAGGGGGGTGCCAGGTGAGTCCAGGAGGGGCCCAGGTGAGTCCACGAGGGGCCCAGGTGAGTCTGGGGGGTCCCAGGTGAGTCCAGGTGGGTCCCAGATGACTCCAGGAGGTCCCAGG